ATATTATTTGTTCATTACGTCCAGCTCTTTCCAATAGACTGAAAGTGGTTTAGCTTGATTTTTCCAAGAAATGTGAAAGACATTGCATATGGACAAAGGCATTTATTACACATTACATACAGCCTAAACCAGCCTTTGCATCCAAATCTATTACTCACTGTTGTATTGGTTTCCCTTTTACAAAAAGTTTTGCTTTTGTCTTTGTGGTTTGCTTTCAAACATATCACACAAAAATGCAAAGCTGAGGGTGTTGTAAAATGTTCTAATATCCATACTTTAAAATGATAGCAAGACTGCACGTTGCTTTTAACACTTTTAATTCAACCCTTCCTCATCTACAAGGTGGACAGAAGTAGTACTGTTTTATGCAGCACAGAGAAAGGAAGCACATCATGCAATGACACTATAAAGACATGAGCAAGTTTGATCAGTTGTCCCATGGCTGTGTGACATACTGTATGCTGAATAGCTGCCACTCCCATTCGAGAATGGACTAGCGATGCTGGCTAGGAAAGAAAGTCTAGAGAAGAAAGAAATCCAGCTATTCTCTTTTAATATAAAAGTATTTTCAAGTCATTTTATGTGCATTAATAACTGCAAACACTCAAACACATGCTACGTAGTAACACAGATGATACAAAAATGTATTTTAATCAGGAGTGGATGACAGAAATATAACAATCTAAGGAAAAAAATATAATTCAGTAGCAAAATTAAATATTGGAATCAACCTACACGTAGGAAAAAAATAATAAATTACTCGTATCATGAGGACAATTAAGCATTGGAATAAGTGGCCCCAAGACATGTGAAATCTCTGTCCTTAGAGATTTTTAAGATGCAGCCAGTCAAAGAACTAAGAAAACCATTCTGAGTTCAGTGTTGATCCTTTCCTGACCAAGAAGCTGGAAAAGACACTTCCCAAGATCCCTTCCAACCTGCACAATTTTGTGATTCTATAAGTTCATGTACCTGAGAGGGTTCCAAACTAACAGTATCAGCCACAGACAGGGATGTTTTGATGTAGTCAAAAAGTAAGCAAGATGCTTGAACAGAAGAGGAACAGACTGATGAATAAGACCGAGACTACCATAATGCCTTTATATAACTTTAAGTCTACCAGCCTCCCCACTTCAAAACAAATTGTGCAGGTGTTCCTACAAGTGAGGAGTCACTAATGAGCTCAGAGGAGTCATCACTGTCTGAAAAGACTCCCATACTCTCATGAAAAAAAAAAAAAGAAAAAAAAGAAAAAATGAAAATATTAAGATTACTTCCTTCAGCAAGTAATTTAGGAAAAATAGATTAGGAACTTCTGGTATCCTTTTTTCAAGTTTAAAGCACAAGGACATTTAGTCAAATTTAATAAAAGGATAGTCATGATCCAAAAAAGAACTGGTTCCCTAGTACCTGAAGTTTTCACAAACATTATATGAAAATAAAAATTTATCATGACTCAGCAAATATGTAGGTATTTGCTATATACAAATACTCAGAATTGTCATAATTATAAATCAAAAATATTTTGGAAAAATAAGATAGTAAACCAAGACCTAATGATCAGAGTCTAGAATGATACTTAAAATTTTTAGAAAATTAACTTTCTTTGGCCTTCTACATAGTTCTTACCTCATCTTTGGAACATTCGATGCCAGTTACTGAAATACTTCTGCATAAGATGGATATTGTGTTGTCAAGCTCAGCAAGTTGCAATATACACATAACATAATGCTAATATTACATTGTCATATTTTTCTCCTTTTGAGTTTCTTATTCTAAGACCCTGCATTTAGTATACATGCAACATTTTAAATGTGAAAGCTAGCATACAAATAACTTCAGATTTAAGACTGAATAATTGGTGGCAAGAACCTCAGAAAAGGCACAAATATGTTTCTCCTAAAAACTGTAAACAATATCAGAAATTATATTGATATTACACATCTATTGGATGAAAACTAAAATGTTTTGTGAGAACGTGATGACTTTCAAGAACAGTAATGGAAAAGCTTGAAACCTCTCGTTAACAGTCTTACAAGTACTTCATTTGGGGTTAAACTTTATGTTATATTCAATATATGTAATATCTTAAACTATTAAATATTCATAATCTGAGCAGATGAGTTCTATGGTAGTGCTAGTTTGAGAATGATGGTTTTATTTTATGACAGGTTTTAAGGCTTGAAATTTTTTTCACCAGACATTAGGATGCAAAGTAAAAAGTGAAAAAGAGTAAACCAATCTCTTGAATATTTCACCGAACACATCTTTATGAAGATGGTCCCTCCCCTTCTTCATTTTGTCTCTTTCTCTTTCCCCTGTCCTCTTTCTCTCTAGCTATTCTTTCCCACAGACACCTTCCTTTGAAAATATTTCCAAAGGTGATAAAATTTTAAGAAGTTTTCCACTTTGAATAAATGTATTATTTCACTGAAATTATTCCATCAAATTAAAATATATATAGCAAATTTAACAGGCTAAATCTAGAAGTCAATTTAAGTGTTTCCTGGAAATGAATATATAATAAATTCAATCTAGTGTGAAGGACTATGATTGGATGAGCTTAATTATGAACTTTCAAATTGCCAATATATCAGAAATAGAAACTGCAGCCCCGAAGACTGCTCTGTCATCTACATTCCAGAGCATTTCATTCCTTTGTAGCATTCACAACACCTGGCTGCTATGTCTTTGTTTAGCTGGCCTGGGAAGGTGGTGAAATGGCACAGATTTCCAGTGACTTTGCTGGGAATGTGGCAAGTGTAAGAATATTAAAATTCTTAAGTACATCTAAAAGTCCAGGAAAAAAAAAAAAAAATCACTGGAAACCAATTGCAATGTCACAAATTCATCTAGTAAAAAGTTTTCTTTACTAGTTTAAGAACAGAACTGGAAAATGAAATGATCAATATCTCAGCTATGAAAGATCCTTATTGCATGTTGCTTGAGAAGCAATGGATCCTCCGCACAGACTCCTGAGTACCACAGTGTCTCCTGAGGAACACAGGAATCTACCAGTCTCTTCCTCATGATTTTGAAAACAAAACTGCTGCTCATGCTAAACTGATCTAAACAGGGCAAATATGAGTCTACTTCTTACAGGACCCTGAAACTTTTTTTTTTTTTTTTTTAATTGAGACCTATAAAACTGAACACTGAGTATTAATTCCATTTTCTTTACACTTCTGCTGCAAGAATGTTAGTTACTTCCACTTAGCTGAAAAGCTCATCATTTCATTTCAAGTGGGCAAGACATGTGTCTTCCTCAGGCTGTTCCACCTAACCTCCTCAGAAAGGTGGTTATCAAAATCACACAAATAAAATAAAATAAAAAATATTCCACCTAGCAGTAAGCTGAGGTTTTAGCTAAGCTATCAAGGGGGGCGGGGGAAGGTCAAACAGGTCTGTTTCACTTTAATTACGTCCAAAATGAAGGATCTATTTCTGGGGAAATGGCATAAACTGAAGGAATCTCATGTGATATGTATATGAAGACTAATAAAAATCTGAATGTAAACTACACAAATGAAGAAATGTAAAACATATCCTTTCCAAAATCACTAGAGCCTCTCCCTATCAGCAAGTTATTTCTATCAATGTATTTTTAAGTGCAGTGCAGTTTTGCACAACCCTGCATGCATGCATGTGCATTCACCTCCACTCTTGGGTCAGATTATACTATGGTAGAATAGATCTCCATCTTCAGACATTCTTTCTGATGGAAAAAAGAAAATTAGTTTTGCTCAGTTTCATTTCTTCACTGCCAGCTGTAGCTCCTCAAACAACTCCAAACCACTTTTGTACCTCCCTGGAGTGCATGCTTCAAAGGCATATGGACATTTATCTTGTCATTCCCTTATATCACCTTGACTTTGTATTTTTCTCTTCAGGTGTTTTTTCCCCCTCTTCCCTCTAAACTATTCATGCTTATCTGTATCCCTAGACAGTCTTTCTCAGCATTTTTCCTGCAGTGACTTGATAAAAGTGGGGCTGCATAAATCTGTGCATGCAAATACTCAGGTGGAACATGCAGTACCAGATTGACTGACACACTTAGCAAATACAGACAGAATTCAGCAAATAGTTTCAGCCAAAATTTTGATAGGAAGAAGTTGAGAAAGCTGATAAATTTCACTGACATTTTCTAATTAAAAAAAATAAATAAATAGGTCTACATTTCAAACATTTCATTTATAAATATAGACTATTTATTTATAAATATAGACTATATTTATAAATATAGACTATACTAGACTATAATTTATAAATATAGACTAGACTACTAGAACAGAAACAAACAAACAAAAAAATCCAGCCACACTTCCAAACTAAGTAATAAACAACTGAAAATTAAGTGCACAAAAATATTCAATCCACCTATTTTTTCCTTGTATTCTTTGGTTCCAACATTAGAAACCAGTGCTTTCTTCAGAACTCCCCCTCCAGAACTATGTCTCTTTTTCTCTCTCTGTTCAGTTGACTAATCATATATTCTAATCAGAACTATGTCTGCTACTACTCCAGGGGCAACCTCTTCACTAGCCCATGACTTGGTTAGGTGGCAAAGCAGTTTCTCTCTGTTGGGTGTCCAGTATGGAATGGTATTATGTGTGTTACTCGTGTCACTGAGACCTTCAACTCCTGTCAGTTTGGGACAAAATTCACATTTTGGATACCTCACGCAAAGAAATCAACACCAGCCAGTACTGATTTCAGGGTCCAAGGACTGGCCAGTAGCGCAGTCTGCTAAACCACATCAAACCAAAACCAACCAGCTTTATCTAACAGAATTAGAGGAAAAGCAAATCAAAAAAACAAGAGGAACAAAACAAAGTGTGACTGATCCTTAATTGCCTAGTATTATATTTCCCCAAGTATAGTTACTTAGAGCAACGCAAGATGCATGTAAAATTCTACTGTTCTGATTAAAATAAATATAAACACAGGTTTGGAGCACAAAAGAGTCGTAATACAGCTGATGCACAGAATTTTAATCTCACCTTGCCAGTAGACTTTGTTCCTTTCCAAATGCAAAAATAGCAGATAGTCCAAGCAGCAAGGAGGCACAGTGCTAGTTCCCAGCGAAGATTCCCAATATGTTCAATTCCATCAGATATAGCTAGCACCCTTCGTCTTCCAAGGGGAAAAAAAAAAAAAAAAAGAAAAAAGATAATAATAATATTGATGCAAAACAGCATTATCTATAAAACACTAGGCTAAAATCAAATCACCTTCAACCAAGGAAACTCCTAGTTACTGAATACTGAAAATTCACCATGCTAAGATAGAAGAAACAGAAGGAAAAAATAGAATATTCTCAGTCGATTTTACATCTGGTTAAAAATGAACAATAAAGATGAAACAAGTGTTTCATCCTTCTAGGTCAGTAACAAAATAAAAAAGATTTTAAAATAGCCCTTGTATACAGTAAAAGTCAAAGAAAAAATCCCACAGTTCTTTGAATTAGTAACTGACATATATAAAGACATAATAATTGTTTTTTCAATTTCACTGCTTTTTCAGAAAAAAAAAAAAGTTCTAACCTTTGCTTTCACTTTGTAACGTTTATTTTCATCAATTTCCTTTTGTAACTGAAACTATAATTTTAAAACATTTCTCTTCAAAACTGTCAAACATCACTAAATTTTCCAGATGGATTTTACTTACGAAATTCTAACAGTAAAATGTTTATATTTTAAAAAGGAACAAACAAGCACTTTTTGTTGTGAAAAGCAGTCATCAAAATTATGTATTACTTTTATTATTTGAAAATAGTGTATGTGAAATACTAGCCACTCAGTTCTAAAATCATTATTCCTCATCTAGTTTAGGAACAGCCCTCACAGCTCACGGTCCAGGACCAAAGTATTTACTAACTTAGTAAACAAGATAAAGAAGGAGAGTGAAAACTTTGGGGGGCTTTTTTAAACAAGAATTTGGAAACATTAAAACCAAGCAAATTGCTAGTATATGCACAGGAAATATATGAAACCAGGCTTCAATGCTAGTTTCCAGAAATCTGGGCTAGCATTTTGTTTACAAGAATGATTTTTTTATATGAGAATGATGCTCTTATCTGGGAGATGCATGGGTCTTTTACGGCCTTTTAATTTTGCTTTAAATAAACACTCAGATTAAACAAAATGTAAATTATTTACCAGCCTGTAAATAAAACATGGGTACTCCTGGTTGTATGAATTAAGAGGTTAAAAGCAACAACAAAAATTTATTCCTATAGCTTTCAATGATTTTGTGAATTTCCTTGAGATTTTTCCATTGCTCTTAAATCTGAAAGAAACTCTATAGACCATTAAAAGACTTCTTTCCAGGAATCTCAGTTTTCCATAACAATAAGAGTATGATTTAACTGGTATGTGAGGTCAGAAATTGATACGGGTTTAAATTCCATACATTCAGAGATTTGGAAACACCTCATCTTTAAAAAAACACTTCTTAAAACAACTTAAAATAACCAAATAGTCATTTACTAATTACATACACAGAATAATTCCTTTGTGCCTGTTATCAGCTTAATCAAATCTCTATAGGGACTGGTCATAGCTCATTCCATGTGTGTTTCCATAAATGTATTTATACACCTGTATGCACACATATACACATTCACATAAAAATTGCCAACATTCAACCTTACATAAATTATCCTGGGCAGTTTTCTCTGAAATCTGTATGACATGTTATCTATACACCCTCAGAGACCCTAGACTTACACAACCCTCCCTCCCTCCCAGAGACTGTGAATGAAAACAAATGAACTGAATTTCACAGGTATTCTGATATAGTTAAAAGTCCTATCATAATTATCACTGTATTATATATATAATTCATGTACATAAAGTTATACAGATAATGTAATTATTTGCAATAAAATATATTTAGGTTAAGAGTTGAGTAATAAGTTTTAAAAATCCAACCTACAACATGAAGTAATCCTTTCTTCCTTTTGCATTTGATTCAGTCACTGGCTGAGGTGATCAATTCAGGGCGTGTAAAGTATGATCACATAATTCAAGGCCGTGCCTAAAATAAATAAATGTTGGAGCTACCTGGGGAGGAACCTGATCTGGTTCTTTGTGCTTTCACCTGCAGTGGGTTGAGGATGAAGGGAAGTTCCTTCACCTGCCTCTAATGATGGAGTAGGAGGATAGAGAGATGTCAACAGCTGGTGATACAGTGGGAAAAGGAAAAAATCTAGTTATCACCAAGTCTTTCAAGATGACCATACAGATGCTGCAGAACCTGTTCAGTCTTTCACACATTTCAAGAGCTGCAGCTGCTGCTCCTGCTGAAGCCCTAGGGTGCAGCCATTTACAGCGTATGGGCTAAAAGTTTACTGCTTAGCTAAAGCAGGACAAAATTTAACAGGTTAAAGAAAATTCACAAAAAAAAACCCCAAAACCCTAAAGCCTAAGGTTTGTCTTCTTATTTTCCAATGAATATAGAGGTAGAAGATCTTTCCGCTTAAAAAAAAAAAAAAAAGGTGGGGAAAAGGAGGTTACACAAACTTTTTGCAATAGAAAGTGTTACGTGCTTAAATGTAAAATTACTGCTACCTCATACACATTTCCTCCTCATCCAGTAACTAGCTTTATTCTGCAAAGCTTCTGCCATCTTCTAGTTGGGGAGAGAAATGATCTGGCATGGAACACCCTCAGCTAAGACCTTCAAAGAACCTAAAGAACTGTCATCAAAATGCATTCAAAAATGAAAAGAGGTAGCTTTTAATGAAGGATATATTTTAATCAAGAAGGGGAAGCACATATTTTATATCTACAGTCTAGAATTGAAAATAACATCACTGAGCCATAATTATACAGAAAGGCTGATGAAATAGATACTTAAAATTCAAATTGTTCTAAACAATTTGACAGATGATATCATGTGGAATTTGACTTAGGATAACATGCACCCTCTTTAGAAATTCTCATTCAAAAAGCAAAAGGAATCCAGGAATTCTTAGCTCAGCTTGAATATTAGGGTGTTACTTGAAGGAGAAACAAGACAAAAAGCAGTATAATGTGATTAAACACGGTCTAGGTAATAAAAGAGCAATGAATGAATACTGACAACAGGCTGCAGATAACTACATTGAAAGACATGTGAAGAGTGAACAGTCCACCACAGAAGCCTGATGACAAAGCAAAAGCCAGGTAAATATTTTTTTAACCAAAACCATTTTATAAGTAGACTAAAAAGCCTCAAACTATAAATTACTGTCACGGAAAAGAAATAACCAATAAATATCTTAATGTTCCTGATTTGGGCAACATCGTTTCCATGCAGTCCCTACCAGACCAACAGCCTTAACTCACCAGTAACATTTCTGCTCTACCAGGATTAAGGAGAAAGAGCTTTGACAAATGCAGCTGCTAATATCAAGAAAACATTGTTGTAAACACTCTGACCTTTTGCAACCCTATGAAAAGAAAGCAGCTTTATTATCAGCCTGTTGGCACATAGCATAATATGGAAATCACATTGTTTTGTTGTGAGACCACACATATCCAACCTTTCTGCAATGACACGTAATGTACATTACCTATAATTTCCAGTTTATAGCTGCAAGTTGTTGGGGTTGGTTTGTTTGTTGTTTTTTTTTTTTGAGAAGAATTCATATACTGACTTAAAGATACAAGTTAGAAAGAGATTGGTCCAAGTTCAGTTTAAACTTCATGATCAGATTAAGTTAGAGAAACTTATAACACAAGCAGGGGCAACCTAAAGATTTTTTTATTGTTTTTTTGCTTAAAAATGCTCTAATTTTTATTTTCAAGTGACATACTACATTTTAAAATTAATGGGGTTTCTTTGTAAGATGAAAAAGAAAACTCAAGAGAAAATACAATAAAAAAGAAACAAAATGTGTTTGAGCCACATTTCATTTCTGAAATGGAAACTTTTCTCTTTTAGCTTTATTTTCACTGAAAAATAATAATGAACAAATTTGGTTATGCTTGAATCAAACCCTTTTTTTAAATTATTTTTTTTGCTATTTGAACGGTATTTATGTGCACCTAAACATAAGTAGCATTTCTTTTCCAAAATGGGGAGGTGTGAACAAATGTAAGATGGCTGCAGTAATGCAAATCAATGCTATGGAGAAATCTATAAGCTTATTCAGCTACTGGATTCTGTAGAGCCATGCTAACACGCCACTCTGCTTGGGCTTAGTGCAAGTAGTTACTTGCCTGCAACACATATACAATGGATGCAGCTGTGCTGCTTTCATACATGATCTCAGAGATCTTTTCCAACCTACACAACTGATTCTATGAGTTAGCCAGTTCACACTAGCCTCTGCACTAGACTATCATATCACGTAGGTAAGAACTTCATGAAAAAACCTGCTACAGGACAAACCCCCAGCAACACAAATGGCTCCTGGAGGATTGGTAAATTTACTTGAGAGGTTGGCAATTTCCTCACTTGAATGTTTGTGCACATGTATATGGATGATGAACTACAACACACCAGTCACTGATTTCCATGAATGGCACCTGCCCAGTCTCACAGTACCTCTCAATACTCATGTCAACGTTATGCATAGGGCTACAATCATTCCTCAACTTCCAGAACCATGAACGTGTCAACTGAGATATCAGTCTTTATTGATCTGTCTTGTAGCATGGTTGCAGAACAGCATGCTGTGGGGAAAAGACACGGAAACCTTTCAATAATAGTTCCACAGTGCTGCGATCACACTGCAAAACACTGAGCGTGATAGAAACATACAATTGATTCACTGGCATACTCAGGGCTTGCAGAATTACTCTAGACTCACACCATAATCAATATCTAGCTTTCAAAGTCATCCATTTCAGCAGCCAGTCACTTGAATTACTACACTGTTCTTCCCTAACTGCATAACAAGTAAATAAATAAGCGCTATTATTCTCTGTCTCATGGTTAGAATGTTTCACACACCAAAATCCAACTTTGTCTTAAGAACACAGTTCCCAGTGAAGATTCAAACTGAGGATTTTTAAAAGCAAGCAGTTTCTGGAAGCTGTCTGCAGAAAGTCAGTGCTCAGTCTTTTCTGAATGCTCTGTGAGAAGTCTCAAATAGCAGAGACACCTACCTTAACCATCCAAAAATCTTGGCCTGATTCTTTTGT